TATAAGGTTAATTTAGGAGTTAGCATAAGTTTGTCACCCTACTTTGACCAGATCACCATTTCTTCATCTTTCTCCCTAAATCAGATCTGAAAATTTGCATCGATTTGCAGCAAGAAAGCACGTCCTCTCACCCTTCTCACCGCGAGATGAACTCCAGCAAATCGCCCCTCATCTCCTTCTGTTGTGACCATTTTTGTTACGTTTTTCTGTAATATTTTGTCGTTCCGTTTCTCCCGTTTTAGGTCTTTTTGTTAGTTTTTAGTTCATTTTATAGTTTATTGTGTGTTTTGTTCTATTTTGGCTTTTTATGTGTTTTTCGTGTATTTTGTCGTTTTTCTACGTTTTTCTTCTTGTTTTTAGTGTGCAGGTCAGAAGCCCCGTGAGGAATCGATTTAGCCCGAAAATGGGTCGGGAACTCATGATTGGATATATGGGTTCCTTAGCTACACATAGGAAAAAGCGGAATCCAATTTCGAGTCCAGACGGGTCCAAAACGCGAAGTCGCGCGAAACACGTTCAATGTGTAGGTCAAGAGCTTTGGGAGAATATTATTTCAAGAATAATTTGGCCAATCAAGCATCAATGTATAGAGGGGTTCGTTAGCGACGCGTAGGAAAAAACGGAACTCAATTCCGAGTTCGGATGAGCCCAAACGTGCCCAAAACGTAAAGTCGCGCAATGCAGTCCAGTTTTCTTCACTGCGGGCAGCGGAGGCAAGTCGCGGCCGCGAATCACTTTTTCAGCTGAAAAAAGTCGCGGCCGCGAAGTAAGTCGCGGCCGCGGAGGCCTGAAAGTGCAGAATTTGATTTTTTACTCATTTTGGGACATTGTGCTCGAGTGGGGAGCTCTTTTGACCAACATTTCACCTGAAAAACGAGATTTTTGGACCCAAGAACATCTTTCCCTTATTCCTTCCTCATTTTCCTCCATTTTCTTCCACTTAATCACCTCACTCCTTCCATCACTCTATATATTCATCATCTTCCATCATCATCTCCCATCCTTGAACCACCCAAGGGGTTTTTCCCCCAATCCCTCAACATCCAAATCATCACTACCATTACTCTCTTATTAGTGTCTTTCTAGATTAGTTTTGTTCTTGTGTTGAAGTTGGAGGTGTTCTCCAAAGACATTTCAATATTTGATTTGGCTTGTACTTATTTTTCGACTTGGATTATTTGTAAGTTTTCCTTCTTGTAATGATAATTTGCAATAAATCTAATGTTGAGTTTATTTTTTATATGAATAGCTAAATCATGTGCTAGGGATAGGGATGAATATTTGATTTCGTATGTGATTATCGTACTCGTCGATTGTTCACTTTGTATGAGTTAATTCTAAATTCGGTTTTTGATTTTCACTTTGGAATGACATATTGTTGAAAAGTGACAATTCAACCTTGCAATTGATTCTAAGTATTGAAGAGTGACACTTCAATGTTAAACTTGTTTTCAAATTGAATATGATGTGTTCTTTTGTGACGATCACGATCCGAATAGACTAGACGACTAACCATCCTATAGTCTATTTTAATCGACTCTTGAACCGAAAGGGGAAAGGTCAATCGATCGAAACTCATACAAAATAGACATAATCCGAAAGGTATTGTCTATGTGTTAAACAACTCATTAATTTACCGTTTATATTTATTCTCATAATCCGAAAGGTATTGAGGATGAACCTTTAAACGTGTAGATGACTCGAATTCTTTAACCGAACAATCACAAGCCGATGATGGCATTTCGATTCAAAATATTTATTCCCGATTTCCTAGCATCTTTACCTTTGTGTCGTTTATATTTTTAGATAGATTATCGTTTTATGTTATTATTTTAGTTAATCATTTTCCAACCCTATCATGATTAGAATGTGTAGGATTTATTTTGCTATTATGTGTTATCAACACCAATTCTAAATTCCGAACAGTCTTCCTCGAGAGATCGACCCAGGAAACGAATCATTCGATTCAGTGCTCGATAAAATAAAAATAATTTGCTACAACACCTTCCTCAAAAATTTCCGTCGTCTCTCTCTCTTTTTGGCAGAAACGAGCAGCAACAAACTCGGCGAGCCTCATCCTTCTCGTCTGAAGCAGCGATTCTGGTGACTTTTCCCCCAGCCATCGTCTTATCCGACCATCGTCTGGCCGCCTTGAAGCCAACACCTTCGAGAGCTGCATTTTCCGACGATGAGAGCATCAAGATGGAGCCCTGTCTTCCAGCGACTTCCAGGCGAGCAGGCGCGACTGACGAAGGGCGATAACCACCGACGACCGAGCATCAAAATTCCGGCGACGACCCTGACAGTGTTGCAGAACTCGAAGGAACACTTGATGATCGATTAGGCGACACAGCCGAAAACTCCTCGAGGTCGACAAGTTCAAGGTCTCTCACCTTCGGCAGCACCAAGGTCGACAAGTTGGCACCGAGCCGAGGACAACGTTACCGTCGGCGTTATGGTCGAGTCTTGTCGGAAGTGCAACCAGTGCTCCAGCAATCTCGGAAGTACAACGGCGTCATGCCCGACAGCTCTCTCACCTATGGCGGCTACTCCAACTTGATGGTGGCCGACCAGGACTTTGCCATCCGGTGGCCAGAGAATTTGCCCATGGATCGTGTTGCACCCCTCATGTGCGCGGGAATCTGCCCATCCGGAGGAAAGCAACGCAGCTCGAGAAAAATTCTTTGTGCAGGAATATGACGANACATCTTCATTTTTTATTTTTCTTTTTCTTTTTTTTTTGGAAAATATATGATATTACAAAAATACCCTTAGAAATCTGCTTTTTTTTAGTCAAAACCACTTTTATATTCGGTTTAGAGGCCAATTTGACAAACTCGCGTAGTTTAGGTTGTGGTTTGTAAAAAAAAAAGTTCATATGGTGATACGCCAAAAACGTGAAAGTTCATATAGGAAAAAGTTATTAACCCATCATTAAATAACAACAACCAATCATTTTTACACACCCTATCAACTTTAATTCATTATTTATCCACTCACATAATTTTAACTAACCATCACTTCATTTCATCTCTCTTCTACTTTTACATCAAATCAATTTTAATTATTTTATTTTAAATATTATTTGAATATAAACTCAAAATCCTAATGACAACTGACTATATAACACTTTTTCTAATTAACATTAATCTAACTAAAAAAAATTCATTTTGAGTTAATTCACTCAAATTATTTCTTTTACAAACACCCCCTAAAATGACTCCCTCGTTGATTCCTTCCTTCCTTGTTAGCTTTAGTTGATAGAATCATAGAATTAGATTGCATTGTACACAGACGTTGTTTCGAGTTGAATGTCATGTTATTTTTGTTGGAAAAAAAAAAAAAAAAAAAGGCAGTATTCTAATGGTTGCTCATATCACCCAAACATAACGGATTTTCAATTACCGTTAACAACGACCGTCTCCTAAAGAAAGGTGCAAAATTTTGACGGAACTGGGGCATTTGTCGTACCGGGGTCGGTGTGAACTTGGGTAAGCTCAAATTAATTAAAAATGAAAAATTCTGTTTGGATAGGGGCGTTAGACTTAGGAATAATTAAAAAATGAAAAAATAAATTGTGAAAAACGTAAGAAAATTGATCCATTCCCCTTCACCATTAAAAGGGGCTCTTCCCCTTCACATTTCCTCACACATACAACTTCCTATTCATTCTTCAACAATTTTTCAAAGGAACTTCTTTAAAATTTGTATGGCAGTTAAATTGCAGATTCAAGGCCTGGCGAGCTTCGGTAAGCTTTTGGCTGCGCAGTTGCGCTCTCAAGATCCAGTCGTCATCTCTGCACTATCTCTCAGGTAAAATATATCTTTTTACTTTCAGCTCTTTAAATTCCGGCTGGTCTATGTTTCAGTGATTGTAGTATTTTGTAGACTATGTTTGTGCCAGTGAATTGTTGTTGTTTTTTTTTTTTCCGAATGGTTTTGTTTTGTGAATTTCAAACATTTTATGGAGACATTATTGTAGTTCTGAATCTCGGGACATCTGGATAAGGTTATATCTGAATCTGAGTCAACTTCATCTGCTTACTAATTACTATACCTGACTCGGATTTCTCCACACCTTGATTTTACTGCCCTTTTTTATTCTAATTATCCCTATATTATTGTAAGGACTCTTGCTCCAGAATATGAGGAGCATATTTGGAATTGTCCAAATTGCCCTTTTTTCTGGGTTCTTCTGTACTAGCTCCCCCACACCAGAAAAAACATAGAAAAAAATAAAATAGTTAACTCTGTTAAAAGATGGTTGATTCTACTATTCTTTATCCTCAAATTGGTTGAATAATGTAATGCTGACAGAGAGAACTCTGATGAATAGGTAGAACAGAGTTGAAAAAAAAATGGTCTCTTTTCATTAACAATTATAGATGATCTATGATTAGGGTATGCTGTGATTACCTTTTTTTTAGGAACATAAATAAATGTGAAAACTAACTTTGACCTAATGAACCCGTTTATCTTTAACAATACAAAAATGTTGCTTTTGATTTGCATTTACTCAAAAAACATTACTAGTGTTCCAACTATTTGCAACTTGAAATTCTTCTTTATAAAAAAATAAATAAATAAAAAGAATCACGATATTGATGTGACAAAGTGACCGTCAAAATTATTAATTGAGATCGTTAATTCTTAATGCAGGAGGGCCGTGCACGTTTCTGCCTATGAAAAGAACGAAGAAGATGATCATGTCCGGCCCACCGTGGTCCCGGATCACGTGATCCCAACCCGGCCCAACAATTATTGGGCTCCTCACCCTCAGACAGGGGTTTTTGGCCCAGTAACCAATGAAAAGCCAGCTTCTGGTGGAGAATCCGATTTGCATACGAATGCCAGTTCAGATTCCGTTTTGGAGGAGAAAGCGTTCTTCCGACCTATGGAGGACTTGGAAAAGCCAGTGGCACATTAATTGAGCTGTGGAACCAAATTACCGGCGGCCTATATATAATAATAAGACCTTATGAGTGCTGTGGTGCAATTAGGTGATAATAAGACTTGTTATAATCTATTACTATATAATACGGAGAAGAAAAAATGTTTGAAAAAATATTTCAAATTCCCGCTTAAAAAACTATTTTTCCCCCTTAAATTTAATTTGAATTTTTTTCATCCCCTTTTTTTGCCATGGATTTCCCTTATCTACAACATGATTAGATTTCAAATCTTTTCAGTTCACATTACAATTCGATTTTAATTCGGGATTCAAAATTTGATTAGATTTTTTTTTAAATATGTAAAAAAAAAGAGAATCCCCTCTCTCTCTCTCTCTATATATATATATATATATATATATATATATATACAAATTTGTGATGAGTTGAATTTTAAATTCAATTTAATATTAACAAATGTATATTTTATGTAAATAAAATTTAATAGAAAAACAAAATTAAAAAGATTGTGTGGTAACATTTTTCGAAATAAATAAATTATGGGAAGGTGATTTTGTTAGCAAAAAATTCAAAGAATTTTGTTTGGGTTCAAATTTTGAATACGTGTATGATTAGTTATAGATAAATGAATCCAACATATTCTAACTACCAAAAAATATGGAAACACATTTCCTTATTTAAAAATTCAAATTCAAGAATGTGAGGAGTTGAATTTTAGATTTAATTTGAAATTAACCACTAATGTATATCTTATGTAAATAAAACATAATAAGAAAAAAAAATTTGTGTGGTAACATTTTTCGAAAAGTGTGAGGAGTTGACTTTTAGATTCAATTTAAAATTAACCAATGTATATCTTATGTAAATAAAATTTAATAAAAACAAGAAAAATAGAAAAAAATGTGTGGTAACATTTTGGAAATCTATTACTATTATTACGACTAAGAAAAATTGTTCAAAAAACTCAAAAAAAATTATCTTATTTTCCCGCTTCATATTCCCGCTTTTTTTTTCGTTTTATTACTTTATTCGGTAAAGTTTTTTTATTTTTTTTTTCATAATCCCGCCTACATTTCAATTGTAATTTATTTGGACGTATATCATAATCCTTTTTTTATTTGAATCGATTTGTTAGGAATCGGATATTTTCTTTTTTTTTTTGGAAGGGAGTTGATATAAGTCGGATAACATCAATTTAAATTAATTAATTATGAAATTTCATTTCCTTTATTTTTTCAAATCCGATTTATATTATATAGATAGATTTCACTTCCTTTTTTTGTAAGCGATTACCTTTTTTTTTGTAAGCGATTGTTTCAATTAAACGTGCACTAAGATCGAGTTGACCGAATTAAACAATTTTAAATAATATTAAACTAATCGATTACTATTAAATTAATTTTATTTGATTTTCACGTCTAAAATTTTCCAAAATACTATTTTTATTTTTGTGGAAAATGGCGGTTGGATGAAAAAGTCAAATTCAAATTAAAAAAAATTGTTATTTTGAAAAAGATATTTTGTAAACCTTAATTCATAAAAATATGGTCAATGATAACTTTAAATACAACGGGTAAATATGGTCAATGATATCATAAATTATATTTTATATTCGATAAGTTCAACTTAATTGATTATTTTGTTTGTTAATATTTGCTTAACTACAAAATATTTTAAAGTTTATAAAGAATCTCATTTTATGTAGGTTCTTGGTACTTTTTTATTTGTACATATTCATTTTTCATCCCATATCCAAATACAAATTTAAATGCGGATCTTACATGTTTATTAGAAATATATGTATATTTTTTCAAAAAGTATGACGATCATATAATTAATTTTATCATATATCATATGTTGGATGTTATTAATTTGGTTGGGGACACTCATTATATTCAAATAAATAATATATAATTTTTCATATTTGGTATTTCTTTTTTTATAATAATAAGATGTTAAATATAAATAACTATGTTTAATATAAAGTCCTAGAAAAGGTTTTAAGTAAAAACCCCTCCGTGCAGCGCACGGGATACACACTAGTATATCGAGTGAAGTAGAAATTTGAATGAATAATCATGTCTTCCGGTTTATATGTGATTTTTGTGGGCGGCCGTGACCATATTATATATTTATATATAAAAAGTTTATAATATATTAGAACTAAACAAAATGACTTTCCGTGAACAATATTTGCACAACTATTTATTATTATTATTATTATTATTATTATTATTTTATTATATTTGCACTAGATTTCTATACTTTTATTCTAATTCTTTAATTTTTCTTCTTTTGCGATATATATTTATACTATTTTTTATCCTTTTTTCTTTTATTACTTGAATGTTCTGAAGCCTGTACATTTACAATATATACGGAATAAAGGATGAAACGGATAATAGGAGTAAAAAGGAGTAAAATAGAGTACACAATAGTATGTTCGAACACCAAAGTATAACTTGGACTTACAAGAATCGAACTCCCTTCTAGTTTAGCTAACACTATACACACGAATCTATTAACTAATCCTCTGGCCACAACCTTGTGGACTTCAAACTAGCTAAGGATCCCTCCCTGCTATCCTAGTACTTAAATTCCTAAGTTCGAAAAGTGTTTGTAAAAATACTGACGTTTGATACTTGTATCCTAAGTACCCAGAGTTGCACACAATTTAATTAAACAGAAGTAAAAGAAGATACAAGCAATTGCGGAAGCAGTATAACTTAAAATTGAACTTTCAGGAGACCGTCCCACTTTCCCTTCAGATCTCTTTCATTAATTCAAACAACATATACATTCGTCAAGGGTTTACAGTATAGACTCCCTCTACACTTTACTTGACTAATGATCTGCACTACTACTTATCCGACTACAAATCCCTTATGATTTTTCTCATTTGAATGTCTTAAACTAAAACATAATGAACCTCCATTCACTATGTATTTTCCCTCACAATAATCTACTCACTTTCGATTTCTTCACTTAATATAAAATGCAAGTACCAAACATTTCATATCTCACCACTTCGCAATATCACATCACCTTAAAAACAAAAGATCAAAAGTGCTCCTCATTAAGTGTCTCATCATCCTTTTATCTTTAGTCTCGTATGGTAAGTCTCGCACAAAACTTTGCCTACAAGTCACTTTCACTTATGGTAGGTCTTCTTTTGGAAGGTCCAAGTCCGCGATTAGCATCTCACACATATGGAAGGTGAATCCCGATTGACTTCCATCATACCTGCCACAATAAAACATATATTACAATTAACCAATAAACTGAATAAATTAACAAATAGTACTCCAAGTAATAAAGTCAACTTCCCTTAAATATTCTTGAGTCGTCTGAACCTGGGAACTGATGAAGGTTCGTCGATTTACTACCAATCTTCAGAACTTACAATCTCCCCCTTTGGCAGATAAATCGAAAACACATCCTCTAAACCTGCATGCAAGGAGACATTTCCTGCAACATATACACTAACCCAAAGTATACTTATCACATCACAAATATGTTGTTCATTTGAACAACTTAACCACCTGAATATTTCAAAACATGAAAAAGACAGTTCACAGGTCAATAGATAATGTCTACGGACCAACCAAAGCAAAGCAAAATAATAAAAAAAAGTTCAGACAACCAACACACGGATCAAATAGTTTTTAGTTTAACAAAACACAATCAAATAGCATCTCCATACACTGATACTCCTCGGAAGACGATATTTGGACCCACCACCTCTCATATGGGTCGGCCATCCATTGGAATTTCAAAGTGAACGTGTGGGGAATCACAAAGTTTTGGTGCGACTTCAACACGAAGCATGGCTCGGGAAACTATGACGTGTACACGAGAAAGGTGAATGTGAGGTGTGGACGACAATCTCCAGTTGCATGGGATCTGACGGATGGGCTGAGCTCTGTGAGCTGCTGGACGGTCACCACGTCTGCCATTATCATGACGCTTGTACAGGTTTGATACAACAATATCGCCGCCCCCAACAGACATGCGGACCCACTGGCAACATTTGTCTATATGGGTGAAAGGGGCAAGAAAACTCAATTTACTCAAATCCAATCAACTCATTTTTTTGGACAAAATATTCCATAAACAATCAAGCCCTAAGATTTTGAATCTTTGTTCCTTTAATGTAACATTTTCTGAATTTTTTCTGAGTAAATTTTCGCACTCCAAATGGTTTATAAACTGGCAAATGTGTTGTGTTTGGAGTTTGCAACACTGTCATATTTGTTCTTATTTATCTTTCTGCCAAGAAAATGCAAAATATAGAGTGTGATTCTTGGAATTTAACTTAAAGCTCATTGGTAAGTATTTTGCAATGCGTTTTTCCTTTTATCTTCCTTTTGCTTTTTTTGGCTTTGTAATTTTTGTTCCATTTCTCAGTTTGGTGTTATTAAGTGATATCAGTCCTTGTTTTGCTGTAACTTCCTTTGATTTCTGTTTATGTGTCTGTTAACTCCAGTTCCTAGAACTCACTAGCCTAGGGAGTATTATATGGTTTAATTAATATCTATCCTCTATCATCTTCATCCTTCTTGATTTGATCATAGTAATTAACATTCCACCACTTTGTCAACTCATTTACTCTGTTCATAATTTAGCTTTCCTGATTTGAATATTCTTGTTTTGGATTCATTTTATATTTATTCAGTAGGTGCTTTGGTTGCACTTGTTTAACATGTTAGACACTCATATACCCTTTCTTGCGTGCTCTAGGTGACACTCATATTTATTCTGCACAAATTATATTAAGAAAGTAGATTTCATTTAATTGTAAATTTTAAAAATTACATGACTGTAACTTAATGAAAAAATTTGTGTTGTGCGAGTGTTCACACTAGGGGCGGTACCGTAATTAGCCAACTCTTTAAGTGTGAACGCAACAAACCAAGTAATTACGGTACCGCCCCTAGTGTGGTGCAAATAAATGAATTATTATTATTTTTGTAAACAAGAAGGTAATTTTGTGATCGTAAATAATTATAAGATAAGGATGTTTTGTTAAAATTTGACGTGAAGTAAAAATAAAAAAACATTTATATTTGGTAATTAAGTAATATAAGTAAGTAAGTAGTATATTTTATTTATAACTATATAATAATGATTGTTTAAAAATTTTAATTAGTTAGTATAATTGTCAAGAAAAAAGTGAGTTTAAATGAACAATATGTTGGTTTTCATATTTTAATGGTATCAGTAAGACTAGAGAGAAACGTTATTTTATGTTGGATGATGGATTTTTACTTCTTAGATTTTAGCAAAAATTTCTTTATACCTAAGATTATATTAAGTTTTTCAGTTCGAAAAAATGTAAAAGTTATTCGAATGGTTCACTTATCTGTCTCATATTTATCTCATATCAGTTGCATATTCACATTAGAAAGTGCGAATGTTTTTACATTTTTAACTTCTGCACAATGCCATTCGCACAATTATCGCATAATTATAGCATAAAGCATTCACACTTTTCTGATTTCTGAGGTGATAAACTTAATTTATAATTTAGTTGTGTGAAAAATTTATTCATTGTTCAGAAGAGGGTGTAAATAACTATTTTCTCTAAATTTTTATGTGTTGGTGCATGAGATGACTTATTTTGTTGTGTAAATATTCAAATTGGTACAAGATATGGCTTATTTAGTTGTTTGTGTACTTTAAGTGCTCGGTGAAATTTTTTTAATTCACATTTGAATTATGATTATTTATTTTAATCGGATGGTGTATATTATTGTTATTTACAATTTACTTTTATTTCGATAGGTGTTTTTAAACTGAAATACATACAAATAAAAAAGAATATTTATTAATTATCTTCAAAATGTTTTTAGCAGAAAAATTAGTACAATACCCGCGTATTACACGGGTGCTTGTTAAAAAAATTATTCTTAAATTTTAAATTTAATGAGAAAAAATATTTTAAATTTTATTTATTTTTTTACAAAAAATATATATTAATATACTTTAGAATGACACTTGTTACTTGTGTGACTTACATGTGTTATATTATAACAATTTTTATAACTTATACATATAACTACTTGAAATATAAATATATTAATTGATAAATAACTTTATTTTTCTAATTAATATTAAAAAATAATTTTATTATTGTTATAAAGATAAATATAACTTATTTCTTTTATACATACAATATGGATGTTAAATATATAGATTAATATAATTATTTTTGGATTGAAAGTAAATTAAAATCTACTCAGGCCTAATAACAAAGTATGTAATTTTACAAAATAGGATCTCGAAGCATGCGAGCCTGACACTTAGACTTAGCACGTTTTGAATTAATATATATGGGAATTATGACCTCATCTGTAGTTGGTCTGTAGGCATATGATTGATTCTAGAGAATTTGTAGTCACACGTTTGAAGGCAATCAGATTTAGGTAATTTGTAGATATGTTTTGTAGGCGATATCTAGTTTATTTAGTTGTTGAAAATCTGTTGACACAAGATTTAGTTGTAGGCAACTTGTAGCTAGTTTTTTGTTGGAATGTAATTTTTAGGTAATTTGTAGGTATTTATAGTAATATTTTCCTGGTATTATCTAACTATATTTTTTGTTTGCAATTTGTTGATATAAGATTTCAAGGCAATCTTTTGGCAGAAAGAAAGGTAGGTATTTTGTAGTAACATTTCAAGGATATTATATGTAGGTATTNTTTTTTTTTTTTTTTTTTTTGCTTTTTCTTTTTTGTTCTTGAAATTCTCTAAAAAAACGATGAATAGAATTTCATTGGTAAAAATCCACATAATTCGGTGAAGTTGTTGGCACCCAACTCATATAACCCGCACTTAGATCACGATATGTTGGTATATAAGAGGAAGGAAGGTGAGTCACACAAAAAGGCAGGAAGGAAGGTGAGTCACACAAAAAGACATCACTATTCATTCAGTAATAATGGCAATGACTCCAAAACAACAACAATATTTGTTCATCCTTCTCTTCACAATCAACATCCTAATAATCACCACCACATTACAAGCCCGCCGTTATCGTCCAAAACTACAACTAGACGACACAACAGTAAAAGTCAAAAACGACATTAACGAAGGTGAAAGCATCTCCATACACTGCTACTCCTCAGAAGATGATAACGGGACCCACCACCTCTCATATGGGTCGGCCATCCATTGGAATTTCAAAGTGAACGTATGGGGTACCACAAATCTTTGGTGCGACTTCAACACAAAGCATGGCTCGGAAAACTATGGCGTGTACACGAGAAAGGTGAATGTGAGGTGTGGAGAGGTGTGCGTGTGGATGATTCGAGAAGGAGGGCTGTGTCTCCTTCAGACCAACGACGATAAGGAAGTCCTGTTCTATGTAAGCTCAAACACCATATAATATTATGCATTAATTCAAGAAATATTGACAAGTGATAGATTTTTCAAGGGTTAATTGCATATAAAACCCTAACCTTTTGTTAAATTGCAGATAAAACTCCACTTTATAAGTTTGACAAAAAAAATATAAACCTTTCACAAGTGTTGCAATTGTGTCTCAACCGTCCTCCCGCCGCCAACCGCCACCCGCAGCCGGCCAACTTCTCCGGTTGTTGAAAATTTTTACATGATCTTGTAGCTCTCCTCCGTGCAGACAACATATCCGAGTTTCACGAAAAAATTCCGACGATAAGGCTTCCAATTTTTCGGTCAAAGCTCATAGATCTACAAATTTTCTCCGGCTCTTTCGCAAATTCCCAGTGACTCGCTTTGACCCACGTGAATCCGAAGTTACCGTTGAACTCCTCTCGCAAAGCCGCATCTACTGACGTCCACCTTCGCCGGAACCAGTGACTCTTTCCGGTGACGACATTTCCGGTGATCTCCTTATCGTAGGAATTTTTTCGTGAAACTCGGATATGTTGTCGACACAGAGGAGAGCTACAAGATTATGTAAAAATTTTCAACATGCGGCGAAGTTGGCCGGCGGCGGATGGCAGTTGGCGGCGGCGGGTGGCGGTTGAGACACAATTGCAACATTTATGAAAGATTTGTATTTTTTTTGCCAAGTTTATAAAGTGGAGTTTTATCTGCAATTTAACAAAAAGTTAGGGTTTTATCTGCAATTAACCTATTTTTCAATATATATGATCACTTTTAAGTTTGTGTTTGTTGCTTTGTAAAAGTGATAAATGAAATTAATACATGACTATGAAAGCCCTTTTTAAGGCAATTCATCTGGATTGCTTCTTCTTATATTTACGTGCCATAATAGCATATTATGTCTCATAGTGTAGACTGCAACTAAAATTTATTTATTATATAATACAAAGAAACTTTAATTGATGAAAAAATAAATAGTATTTATTTGGAGTTATCTATATATCGTGAGTTCCTAAAGGTGTATTATATGTCTACAATTGTTTAAGATAATATTTCTCCAATGCAATTATATTGTGAATTATGTGGATGCGAGGTGGAAAAATAAAAATACAAATGTACTCCGTTTCTTTTTTTTTTTCAAGATTAAGTAACACCCGTGAAAATGTTACTTATGATCTATAATAACACATTTTTAAAAATTACGTAATACTTTATTGAAGTTATATAAAGTCACTTTTTTGTAGTGATGGTGTTTGAGAGATTAGATAGAATGGGACTTCCATGACTGACACCAAGGCTCGTTCTCGTGGTTGGTCTGAAGTAGACACGGCCCTTCTGCTTGTATCATCCACACACACACACGTCTCCACACCTCAAATTCACCTTTCTCGTGTACACGCCATACTTTCCCGAGCCATGCTTTATGTTGAAGTCGCACCAAAACTTTCTGGTCCCCCACACGTTCACTTCAAATTTCCAAGTGATGGCCGACCCATATGAGAGATGGTGGGTCCCGATATCGTCTTCGGAGGAGTAACAGTGTATGGAGATGCTTTCACCTTCATTAATGTCGTTTTGGACTTTGACAGTTGTGTCGTCTATTAGTTTTGAATGAAGAAGGGCTCGTGGTGATGTGGTGGTGATTAGGATGTTGATTGTGAGGAGAAGGATGAACAAATATTGTTGTTGTTTTGTCGTCATTGCCTTTGCTGAATAGTGCCTTTTTGTGTTGGACTCACCTTCCTTCATGTTATATACCAACATATCGTGATCGTATTACGGGTTACATGAGTTGGATACCAACAATTTTGTTGAATTATGTGTATTTTATACCAATCNATAACAAAAGAAAGAACATTTTTTCTTGCATAAAAATCTATGAACAAAAATACCTACCTTTCTTTCTGTAATACCTACACATAATATCCGTGAAATGTTACTACTAAATACCTACCTTTTTTTCTGCCAAAAGATTGCCTAGAATTCTTATATCAACAAATTGCGAACACAAAATATAGTTAGATAATACTCGAAAAATATTACTACAAATACCTACAAATTACCTAAAAATCACATTCCAACAAAAAACTAGCTAGAAGTTGCTTACAAAATAATATTTCTACCAATTACCTATAAATCTTGTGTCAACAGATTTTCAACAACTAAATAGACTAGATGAGGTCATAAGGGGGCGATTGGATACCAATTGGACTAGAAAAAAACTGATATTTTACCCAAAACACTGTTGGGCTTGTGATTGGATATCAATTGAGTATGCACTCTGGGCCCACTTAAAAGAGCCGACATCCACCAACACTCCTGCAGCAAAATTCAATTCTGATTCATCTTTTATTATTTTTTTTTGCCCAATTTCGAGGTCTGCACAAAATTCATTTCCTCCCCCTTCCTTTTTGACCGATTTCTTCACATTTCAAATCGCAATAGCTGTATGATTCCCCATCTTGTCGTCGCCCCACAAAATTTCCTCAATAAAAACTCTTCAACCACCTCTTCTGCGTATGGAGCTCTCCCCAAAGAGTTCACTTCCGGCAAAAGAAAGAAACGACGGTGAAGCACGGTTGGATCGTCGACCTGAAGAAACTACCGAGAGCACCGGGAGCGTCTCCGTCACATCTCCGAAAAAGAAAAGACTCCGGCCAACAAAGGTACGTTTATGCACTCTTTTATGCGTCCGAAAAAATTCTGTTTATATATGGTTGTTTAAAACGATTTGGCTTTACAACTGGGCCGCACTTTGAGCGAATCATAGCTATTTGGAGCCTGTAGAAAATATTTGAAATTTATATGGGTTATGAAATTGGGGATCCTATGTGTAGATGGTAGCAGGAGGAACCGATATTGAAATGTTCATTTTTTTCGGTTACGGATATCGTTGGGAACAAAATTGGGGATCCTAGACATTACATTTAATTACATATGTTGGGTAATTTTCAAAGTTCAATTCCAAATGTGTGAAGACTGTTTTGATTTTACCTGTCATTTTTGCATGTGTACAGTGTAGAACAAATATGCATTTCTTTCATTTTTTTCTAATTTTTATCCCAGTTGTTTTAAACATGTGAAGAGTACCATACCACATTGTAGTTGGTTTGTTATTTGTCATGATTGTAGATGTCATATACCGGTGGTATTGGTACTTCAACTGATAATAGTCAAGGAGACGCAAAATGGCCTCCCGAAAATGAAGCCGCATTTGTCAGTGTTTTGTTGGAAGAAGTCCAGTTAGGAAACCGTGTAGCCGGTAAGTTCACACCTAATCAATGGACGGCCATTCTGGGGAAGTTGACAGAGAAGTGTCCTATTTACTATCCTTACAAAATTGCTCAGCTACAGAGTAAGTACCAACGTATGAAAGTGTATTGGAGACGGTTTCACAACATAGTCACCAACGCCACTGGATTGGGATGGAATGAAGATAAAAAAACTATTGAAGGACCCGCTGAATTTTGGGCGCAATGGACAACCGTAAGTATTTTTTCATTGTCGGGCTGACATATACAGATTGTTTGCTATCATATTGCTGTTTTGAGGAGAATTTTGTCATAGGGTGGATACGATTAGAGGGAAGACATTTGGATTCCTAAAGCGAGTAACCTCAAGCCGTTGAAGTTACAACCAGGAACCGATTCCCACAATCCACATCTTTGTTGAAGGAGTTCAAGACACTCGGTAAATATTTCGTATTAGTATTTACTTTATTATAACAAATCAAAATTTGTATATGATGCATATTTTAAAGATGACGATCTGTTAATTCGCAATTAGTATGTACGGGTGTTGTATTTATACGATAAATACTTACTTTAAAAATTTTAAATTCCGCTGCGTACAGCCCGTACGGTACTAACGAACC